TTTTGTTTCCTTACTTGCTTCAGGTTCTCACTTAACTAAACTCACTGTCGCTGAGTTGATATGGACTCATAGTCTGTAGGACTGCAGAATTGCCCTTTCTCACTATAACGGTTGATGGGATTAGAAAGCCTAGCCTTCTACGGCTAGTGGTTTCGAACTGGGGACCTTTGGACCAGAGCCCAATTTGGAGCCACTACACCACAAGGGCTTCTCCTTGCTTCAGCCTAGCAGAGACCACTTGTGTCTTTCCTGGCAGTCTGCAAGCTTTGAAGACCTTAGGCACTAAACTTGTAATTAGGCCAATTAACTGAGTTGTTCCTTAAAACCAAGACGCTAAACCAGTGGTTCTCAACCTGTGGGTCACGGCCCCTTTGGGGGTTGAATGACCCTTTTACAGGCATTGCCCGATTCATAGCAGTAGCAAATTTACAGTTATGAAGTAGCAATGAAAATAATTTTATGGTTGGGGGTAACCACAGCATGAACTATATTAAAGGGTCATGGCATTAGGAAGGTTGAGAACCACTGCTCTAAATTAAGGAACACACTCAGGTGTTTGGTTGTACATAAGCAGCAGCCTTAATAGTTACTTTGTTTTTGCAAGTATTATTATCACTCTACTTTTGCCAGGTCAACTTTTTGTAGGTGAGAGGAGTCCCGGTGGCATAGCGATTAAGTGTTGGGCTGCGGTCCACCAGGTCAACGGTTTTAAACCACCAGCCGCTCTGGTTGAAAGATGTGGCTTTCTATACCTATAAACAGTTACAATCTCGGAAACTCAGAGACAGTTTTACCCTGTCCTACAAGGATGTTTTGAGTTGGCGTCAACAGTGAATTTTTGTTTTTTGAGTTTGTTATTTGTGCTTAAACTTTGGTCTCTATTTGCCTGTTCTTTTTTATGTTAAGAGAAGTCATACAATATTTGTCTTATGTTATTGACTTACTTCATTCAACATAATTCCTTGCAGGTCCATCCATACTGTAATATGTATCAAGACTTCATTTCCCCTACTGCTGGGTAGTAGTCAATTATACAGTAGAAATCTGGATCTCAAAGCTAATCCATGCTAGAAGGAACATCGAGATGTGATGCAGTTGAGTTCCGATGTCAATTTTTTTCCATAAGAAATAACTGAAAACGATTAATTCATTCTTGACCACCAAGTTTTTAACCTAACCTTGTCTTTTAATACAAAACATTACACAAAAATTTCAAAGTAAGTTCAGAGTTAATAATTTAAGTAAACAACATTTAAAAGGTTTTTAAGAACTACAGTGGGGCCCATACCTTGAGATTGATATCTGTGGACATGGATGTGGAGAGAATCATTGTTTGAAAAGGGAATCCCCTTCCATAAAATCAACTGGTAGCTGTTTTTCAGTTTTTTCCTTTCTTTGCCTTCTTTCACTGGGACCTGGCTGGCTTTCTCTAACAAAAAAAATGGTTTGCTGTTGATGTTTCCTTAACTGTTTTCTAAATTATCAACAATATCGATAACACGGTTAACCAGTTCCTTATGATTCTTTGAAGAACTTCTGTAGAACCCATGTTTTAAATCTAAAATCAGCAGAAAAAGCCATAAGAAAATTTAGCAAAACACTTAGGACACAGCCGCAAAAGGTTTAAACGCGTACTAACACCACCAACTAACGCTGAGTGACTGAAACATGAACTGTTTTTTTAACAAAAATCACGTGTTGGGGTCGGATTACGATGTTTTGTTTGAGCTCTGGTGCAAAATTTTCTCGACATTTCACGTTGAAGTCCGATTCTGTTGAGTACTGATGCAGTTGAGTACCCGCGTTCCACTGGATATATGTAAACATTAGCGTACAAGGCTGTTTTAAGTGTTTAGAGTACACCAAGGAGTGGAATAGCTGATTATGGGGAAGCATTCACTAGGCCTTCCTGGGCACCTCTGGATGGTGAACCTCTAACCTTTGTTGGTAGCTGAGTGCTTGTGCTACTTCGTGTTGTGCATATGCTCAAGTAAACTGAATTGCAAAATAATGAGTATTAGTTTTAAAGATGCCTTGGTAACATATTGGGTTAAGCATTGTGTTAGTCTGGGTTGAGTAGAGAAATAAATTCATAGACTCTGGTGTGTATAGGAAAGAGCTTTATATATAAGAGCAATTGAATATTGAGAAAACATACCAGCCCAGTCCAGATTAAGTCTCTAAGGCCGATATTAGCCCATATGTCCGATTACCAATCTATAAAGTCCTCTTTAGACTCAAGAAAACACATGCAATGACGTTGAATGCAGGAAGATCACAGACTAGTGGTGGGAAGTTTTGTGGATCGAGTGGCTTTGTAAGCATTTCGGCGCTGGCAGGGGTCTCCATGTGGTTTCTCCACCTCAGCACTAGTGTAGCACCATGTGTCTTGTCAACTGCTGTATCTCCCAAGGAGTGAACCTGTGTTCTGCCTCCAGTGAACTATTTAGTGCCAAATGAGTTCATCAAGCTGTGATTTGATTGATAGGCTAAACCCCACCCCTTAAACCCCAAACTGACACCAGATTATGTAACTACCACAAGCACTGTGCTGTTCAGAGGGTGGTTCAATTCTAGTAGCCATCTGTAGGAAAAGATGAGGTAGTCTTATTTCCTAAAAAGGTACAGCTGCTAAAACCATTTAGAGCAGCTTTCTTTTGCCCTGTAGGGCTACTGTGAATCTGAACTAACTTGATAGCAATGGGTTAGTTTACGTTTAAAACTTTAGAAGTGGGTGCTATGTATTTTAAAATTAACTTGTGTTGAGAGATGTTATTCTGTAGAATCAAGAAGGATCTCAGATTTTTTAATCTTGTACTCTTTCTACATTAAAAAAATGAAGATCCCAAGGGCTTTTAAAAATGTGGGTCCTATCTATATTTAAAGTATTAAATGAAAACAGGTTAAAATATTAATTAAAAAAAACCATTTTATTAGGGGCTCACACAACTGTTATCGCAATCCATACACACATCACTTGTGTAAAGTGCATTTGTATATCATTCTCAAAACATTTTCTCTCCACTTAAACCCCCAACATTAGGTCCTCATTTCCTCCCTCCCTCCCCGCTCCCCCTCCCTCACGAGAAATACTAATTTATTAAAGTATTAATATACCCATTATAATGCTGACAGTTTGTGAAAAGTGTATTTTTAAAAAAAGTTGAGTAGCATTGAAATCACTTGGTTAGTGATATCTTAACTGGATAACTTAATAGAAAATTTGAGTGTCATCTGATTTGCACTCAGCTCATTGCCTCAAAATATATGGTGAATCTAGTGTTAGGGGCAAATGAACAAAATCAACTGTTTACTCGAGTTTTAGAAGTCTTCTGCCATTGAGAGTGCACTGCCCATTTCTAGCACCCATTTTAATGGAGAATATTTGAGTGTTCTTTTTCTGACAGGTTTGTTTTCACAGGTTTTACTCTGAACAAAATCTAGCCACACACAATGTACTTCATACAAGGGGGAATGTTTTATTTGCTTTTTCGTTTCATTATAGATCTTTGATAGTGTATATATGAAAGCTGAGGTATCCTAAAGGTTAGCTATGATACAGAATCTGGAAGCATACTATTGAGCCTTTTGGGCTTTCTTATTTTACTTTGAATGGAATTTTTACCCCAGAATGATAAGTAAAACTATATATGATAGGGACTTGAAAAATATTGGCTAACTGTTCTGCAGATGAGTTACTTCAATATATAACGTCCCCCAAGAAAATACATTTGTTAACATCACTATCAGAAAAGACCCTACTGGGAACATCACAGTGGTAAAGGTTTCCCAAAGTTTAAACTTATATTTTGTCTTTGATAACTGCCATTTGTTTTCTTGCCTTAACAGATTCATTTTTGAAGAAACACTGAGATAGCCAAGTCTGAAGACATAGTTCTGTTTTTAAACTATGAAGACATAGTTTTGTGTAAAAATGGTTGCACACAAAAAAGTGGTTGGTTCAGCTCACATCTCAGTCATTTTTAAGTGTTTTACTCTAGACAATAACTTTTAGTATGCAGAGACTTTATATCTATTTTGTTTTGTCACATATTTTAAAAATGTGTACTCATGTGTCAGGATTTAATTAATTGCTTAATTCCTCGCCTATTTGGTGTGGAAGAATACAATGACTACTATTCCAGTTTGGTGCTATTTTCTGCCTTGCTTGATTCCTGCTAAGGCTCTAGTAGTTTATCTACCGTTTCTTTTGTATCATCAGTGGAAACATCAATATGATGCATATAACTTTATATTATTATTATGAAAGTCCTCATGAGGACGTTTGAAACTTCTGTTTGAAAAGTTTAAAAAACCCAACTCATTTACTTCTTAGGCAAGAGTCTATTACAGTTCTCTCATTTTTATCTATAACTTTAGTAAGTTAATTTTGTCCTAGAAATAGAAAAGTATGCAAATGCCTGAGTATATGCTTAAATTTATATTTCTTTGGTGCTTTAAAAAATAGGAGACCGTGCTCGCTTCGGCAGCACATATACTAAAAATGGAACTATACAGAGAAGATTAGCATGGCCCCTGTGCAAGGATGACACGCAAATTCGTGAAGCGTTCCATATTTTAATTTAAAAAAAAATAGCATACCATTTTATTTTTGTGGACATAAAGAGTACCTTCTATTCAGATACTGAATTGAATGACTTGTTTCCGATAGCTAGTCCGCTGTTTTAAAACAATCAACTGGGTCCTGCTGGCTTCACTTGCAATTGTCCTGGTGCCAACTTTGCCTCAGCAAAGACTGCTGTTAGGCCACATGGTGGCCTTGTGTATGACGTGCCTAATAAGGAGTGTGTTCTAGTCCCCGAGGATTAAATTTGATTCACATTCCCTTCCTAAAATTCTCATATATTTACTTTGATTTTTCTATTAAAGTCAGATGTTTGCTAATGCTTTTTAAGTTTTGTTTTTTTGTTTTTAATTGTGGTATTTAGGTTCTAGTAAAGGAGATTACCTGGAGTAAAAACTGTATTTTTCTATGGTAGGATGTGATGGAGTTGCTTGAAGAAGACCTCACGTGCCCGATTTGTTGCAGTCTGTTTGATGACCCTCGAGTTTTGCCCTGCTCGCACAACTTCTGCAAGAAATGCTTAGAAGGACTCTTAGAGGGGAATGTGCGGAATTCACTCTGGAGACCATCTCCATTCAAGTGTCCCACCTGTCGTAAAGAAACATCAGCTACTGGAGTCAATAGCTTGCAGGTCAATTATTCCCTGAAGGGCATTGTAGAAAAATATAACAAAATCAAGATCTCTCCCAAAATGCCAGCCTGCAAAGGACATGTAGGGCAGCCTCTCAACATTTTCTGCCTGACTGATATGCAGCTCATCTGTGGGGTCTGTGCTACTCGTGGCGCCCATACTAAACACGTTTTCTGTTCTCTTGAAGATGCCTATGCTCAGGAAAGGAATGCCTTTGAGTCTCTCTTCCAGAGTTTTGAGACCTGGCGTCGAGGAGATGCTCTTTCTCGCTTGGATACCTTAGAAACTAGCAAAAGGAAATCCCTACAGTTACTGACCAAAGATTCAGATAAAGTGAAGGACTTTTTTGAAAAATTACAACATACATTGGAGCAAAAGAAGAATGAGATCCTGTCCGACTTTGAGACCATGAAACTTGCAGTTATGCAAGCCTATGATCCAGAGATCAACAAACTCAATACTATCTTGCAGGAGCAACGCATGGCCTTTAACATTGCTGAGGCTTTCAAAGATGTGTCAGAGCCCATCATATTTCTACAACAGATGCAAGAATTCAGGGAGAAAATCAAAGTAATCAAGGAAACCCCTTTACCTCCTTCTAAACTGCCCACAAACCCTCTAATGAAGAACTTTGATACCAGTCAGTGGGAAGAAATAAAACTAGTAGATGTGGATAAGCTTTCTTTGCCTCAAGACACCGGCACACTTATTAGCAAAATTCCTTGGGATTTTTATCTGTTATTTGTAATACTCTTACTTTTGGGCCTTATCCTTTCCTTTGGTCCTGGCTTATCTCTGGAATGGTCTCCATTTGATAAATTTGTAGCTTGGAAAGAAAATCTTTCAAACATCAGTTCCCTCTATCTGACGAAATCAGCTGATGTCTTAGAACAATCAATTTTTTACTGGGAACAGGTGGCAGATGGAGTTTTCATTTTCAGTGAACAATTCAAGAATTATACTTTGATAGTGCTGAACAATGTGGCAGAATTTGTGTGTAAATATAAACTATTATAAAATCTGTTTCAGATGTCTTTTGTTGTCTGAGTATAGTATTAGTTCAGTTTTGCTAACAATTCCAAGTCAGACACCTCAAAAGTACACCTCCCAAAATGCTTTATATAGTTATGTTGTTCATGTGAAATGCTTAAAGGTAAAAGTGTAATTTAATGGTACAATTCTGAACCTCCTGTTTTGAAAAGTGCTGAGATAAGCACCCTCCCATTAATGTGTTGTTTATATTAAAATGGATGTGGAAGAGAACTCATGATCTAATGTATTATTGAGGTCTTTGTTCATCAAACAGACAATAAAGACTACAATTTGGAGATAGGATCGATTGGATTTCCTTGATTTTTTTTTTTTCTCCCCACTATTGCCAGAATACTAGTATTTTGTGACAAGATTACATTTTAGGGAGAGATTTCTGTTTGCCTTTTCCCCCTTAGTAGTTAAAAATTTATCATTAAAGGAATAAACAGCAGTGGTAGGTGGGTTGTACAAGCAAAGGCAAAAAAGTTGAAAACATGCCAGAGCAGAAATGGGAAAGTCACCTTTTTACTGACATCTCAGTGTTTGCTGAATCAGCTATACAACTAAATAAGTTATACAACTACACTTTAAGATCTTTTAAGCACAGTAAGAGACCAATTTTAAAATGAAGTGATTATAAAATGCAAAGTCACCAGCTAAGCACTAATGTACTACAGGAATAAAATAATATTGTTTTAACAAGAACCAAGAAATTTATCTTACACCATCCGCCATCTCCCTCACCCACTTCTCCGCTATCCTTCCCCCAGGGGGGGGCCAATATGTAGATCTTGTCATCTGTTTCCCCTTTCTCCCTCCACTCTCCCGCTATCACCACTCTCCACTGCTCCTGGGGGGCTCATCTGTCCTGGGTTCACTCTATTTCCAGTTCCTATCTGCCAGTGTATATCCTCCGGTGTACATCCAGCCGGATATGTAAGGTAGAATTGGGATCATGGTAGTGAGGGGGGGGAAGCATTAAAGAACTAGAGGAAAATTGTATATTTCATCATTGTTACACCACACTGATTGGCTCAACTCCGCAGTCCTGCAAGGGGATGTCCAATTTCCCCCCCGGATGGGCCCTGGGTCCCCACTGCACTCCCCCTCATTCACAATGTTATTTTTTTTTTTGGTCTTTGATGCCTGATACCTGACCCTTTGTCATCTTACAGGCTGGTGTGCTTCTTCCATGTGGGCTTTGTTTCTCACTTAAGGGGAATAGATTTAACAGTTTCTAGGTGTGGTTTTGCTTTCTGACAGGATTCACAGTAGATTAGAAGAAAGGGCTGCTTTTTTGCTTCCAGAAAAATTTCCAATGCAACACTTTAATGATTTTTAAGAATTTTAAATATAAAAGGGTTCTATATGACCCCTTGACAGTTTTCCTCATACTATGATTCAGTGCCTCAATCTGTTGCTCCTTTCATTGTGTGTACAAGTTCCCAAGCAACTATGCAAACACAGCCATGGATACGTTATTTGCTTTATAATAAACTGCCATCCAGTCATCACTTCCAACTCAAAGCACCCCAGTAGGACAGGGTGGAACTGCCCCAGTGTTTCTGAGACTAATTTTTAAGTAGAGAAAGCCCCATCTTTCTCCTGCAGACCAGCTGGTGGTTTTCAAACTGCTGACCTTAACAGTAGCAGCCCAACATGTAACTATGCCACGACACTGGGAATACAGGTCTGTTTCATTCTGCCTTCCCCAGTGCTTATGTAACTAGGAATATTTATGGTTTTAGCGCATTTACAAATCAATGTCTAATTCAAAGCAATTAGTAGTGGCATAGTAGATACCTGTTGGGCTGCAATCTGATGCAAGGACAGCCGTTCATACCACCAGTCAGCTCTGCAGGAGAAAGCTCGACTTTCACTCATGTAGTTATACTCGGAAACTCAGGCAGTTCTATCCTGTCCTATAGGATCGCTGAGTCGGCACTGACTCCATGGCAAATGCGTTTGGTTTGGTTTTTGGTCACTTTGAAGTGTAGAGAAAACATTTAGAACAAGGTTTTTAACTATGAAGCAGTTTCCTGCTGCTTGGTTTGGTGTGAATGGTATATGAATGGCAGAGCTCAGAAGAATTCAAGATGTTTGGAGGCCAGATTTTTATGGACAGAGATTGTGCTTTAGTTTATTAGATCTTTTGAGAACTCGCCAACTTCTACCTATTGACTTTTCAGCCTATTTTAGGCTTCCGAGAGGGGTTCTTTTCTATGAACTTGGTTTTCTGATGGATCTCTCAAACCATGAACTGCTACAGTCAAAACCTGTGTTCTTGGAAGTGCATTTCCTACAGCAGAAACACTTGCACTTTTTCATATTTGGTTCTTGTTGCAAAACAGTAAGATGCTAACTGGGCAGTGTTTATAGAGCAACGGCATCAGCCTGGAGTACTGAGTCTTTTCCTTCCACAAAGACATCATCATGACCTGGTTTTCTAGGGCAGTTCCGACGGCACTCCTGATAGCCAACTGAATCAGGTATTTTATACTTTGAAGCATCTCTGTTCTAAAACCAGTTCCCCTTCTAAACAGCTCTTCATACCTGAACCTTTTCATAAAAAACAAATGACTACTCAAAATGAGTATTTGGGGAACCAGTTTAGTTGGGGTTATAAATAGTATGACTAGTTCTTAAAACTTGGGTACTTTTGAGAGTGAAATGGGGTACTGTTACTATATATGGGGCAACTAAGACTGCCAAGAAGGCAAATTGTAACAGGAATATTTTTTAGTAATTTTAACCTGGCTAGTAAATTTTAGAAATGAAACTTTCTCTCCAAGAGATTTTCTTGGTTCCTGACATATAGCACAGGTTTGATGGTTTTGCCTCTGTGATTCTGATTTTTCCTACAGCAAATTTGGTATCCTATTCTTATCAGGAGTCCTAGTGGCTAAGGTGCTGACTATAAAAGGCAATCAGCTTGAATCTGAGGGAGAAAGAAGTGGCAGTCTGTCCTATAGAGATTTAAACCAAATCACTGCCCTTAGATGGATTCTGACAGTGGCCCTATAGCGTAGAACTGTTTCATGGAAACTGATGGCCCCATCTTTTTCCCACAGAACTGCTGGTGGCTCTCGCTCAATCCATTTTGAAAGGTAGCTTTTTTTTTCGGGAGGGGGGAAAGGACCAAAAAACACCTGCATTCATTTTCACTGGTAATATTTCCAATAAAGCAAGTTTTTAAACATGGTTTTGGTAGTGGTAGACATGTTGGGACACTTTCTAAAGAGCAGTAACCTTTAGGAAATGATATAAACCTCACACCCTCCACCCCTTACCCTACCCCATCCCACCAGTCCTAGCACAACCCTTGGTGCTGCTCAACTAGAGAACACTGGGAGACTAGTTTTGTTTTTAAATGAATGAGGAGGCACAGTTCCATTTCAAAGGTATAAACCTAAGGAAGAATGCTGTCATTGATTTTAGGAAGAAACATGCTAGGTAAAAAGATCCCCTGGAAATGATGACTGTTTAAACACTCCATTTAGGGGAAGTAAATTATAATCTCAAAAAACAAGATTCCTGTGCAGATGCCACAGTGCCAGGAATGTTCCCTTTTGTTAGTTGTTAAAGTATCTTTTTTAAAAACTGGTACACGTTTTTCTTTCATCTTAATATAAAAAAGGCACTGTACTTAAACATCCCATAAATAACTTCAAAGCCAGAAGCTATAATTGCTCCAAAAAACCAAACTTACTGCCATCACGTTGGTTCCAGCTCAGAGACGGCATCCACTTTATGTCTCTCACTCCCTGGTCTGAGTCTGTGTGAGATATTTTTAGAAGGTGAAGTGAAAGGAATAAACACTATAGTCCACCAATATGACTTACTTTTTAAGGTGTCTGGTTAACCAAAAGCTTGCTCAGTAAACTTTCAAGTTCGTATACTGGAAGATATACTTTTCTTGTGTCTTGAAATCTATGTGTAATTCTTTGCTCTCATAGGGAATCGGGTACTTTGTTCTCGAATTTCTTGCAAATTCCAAATGCTTAATCATTACCTATTATATCCTACATGTATCAATTCTTTTTTCAGATGTTTTGATAACATTATTTTAACTTTTAGGTCAGTGGTCTCAACCTTCCACGATCCTTTAATAGAGGTTCCTCATGCTGTGGTGAACCCCAACCATAAAATTATTTTCGTTGCTACTTCATAACTGCAATTTTGCTAGTTATGAATTGGGCGACCCCTGTGAAAAGGTCATCCAACCCCCAAAGGGGTCATGACCCACAGGTTGAGAACCGTTGTTTTAGATAGATGTATTAAGGCTATACATGCAAGAGCTAGGGTTTGGGGTAAATGGAGTGATTTATTCATGTTAAAAATCTGCTGTATCAAACATAATAAACATTTCCCCCCCAGATGTGCTGTATGACTCTGATTTCACTATTGTATTCTTTGCCTAGAGATAATCCCTAAATATCAGCTATCATAATCACCCTATTTCAGTCATGATACTTAATATAATGTTTGGAATGTCTCAAAGGGGGGGGTGTCTTTTTAACCTCATAAAACTAAAGATAATTTATTTAGTTGGATTGTTGCAGCCGGAAAAAATTCATTTAGTTTTTTTTTGCATTTCATAAGCTAATGATAGGAAGCTAGAGATATAAATACCTTTGATAGTGTATAAAAGAAAAATCAAACCCACTGATTATGACTCATAGTGATGGTAAATAAGGAAACATATAATTACAAATTATCTCTATGAAGTTTTAACTTATGTCGGCATTAAAGTCAACTATACAGCCATTTGAAAGGTTCATATATATAAATTATGTATATGGGTTCTATGGATTTTCCATTTTTACTTCATTGGTCTACAGCTCCCCTTCCCCGACCTCTCCGTGGTCTAAACTCTTAAACAATGGATAATTATTGGCTAAAATTGATATGATCTTCTTGGCATTTTCATGTCTGTAAGTTTTCACATGTAAAAAATTAAATTTGATAAGAATGTTACATGAGACTCATGTTAAGTGCTAACTGGTAAAATTAGTTATGGCAAAAACTAAATATATGAAATCTACATTACCAACATTACAATGAAAATCTTACTTAAAACAATAGCAAATGAAATAAATTATGCTTTATTAAGTAAAGCCAATTTGATCAAATTGCTCTGGAAAATTAATTTCAATGAAAACTCATTATTGTTGGATAAATTTCAAAATGTTGAATTAAAGTTACTTTGGAATAGCAGAATTTGATTTTTTTTTTTTAACAATCTGCTATATGCAGATGATGCAACCTTGCTTGCTGAAAGTGAGGACCTGAAGCACACTTGC